CTATATACATTTCGTTTTTTAATAAATAATAATAAAAAAAGTTTTGTCTAAAAACAAATTACAGTATTTATTTTAATTTTAAAAAAGCAATAAAATACTTTTAATAATAAATGTTACCAAGATCATATTTTCCCGGCACAAGAATAAAAGTTAATTACAAGGGTTTAATATTCCAAATTTTGGGATAATTCACATCCAGAATTTCCTTTGAATAATTTGAAGTTGTCACAAAATTTGACAGAATTTCAGCATATTTTTAGGGATTGCCTTTAGATTATCAGCAAATGTTATTTGATGATTGTAATGTCTTCCATTTAACTTTAGCTTTAAAACTAGTACTAAAAATAATATTGTCTTTGAATTGTTTAAGTTCAAAAATGCGGTAAATTTATATTATCATCAGCAGACACAGTTGATTACAATGGATTGTAAGGTGTTTTTTTTTGACAAAACCAGCTTGTAAAATACCATGAAATTGATTCCTTACTCTGTGATACACCATCAATATCAGATGCAGAAAGATTCAGTTGATATTGAACGTGCTTTTCTGAGCAGTCTGCAGCTTTATAAGGTGTGTCAATTGTTTGATTCACGTGATTCACAGTGTAAATGAAGTGTTTTTTCTGGCTTATAAACATATTTCTGAATGTAAGGTTTAACTCTGTACACAGGCTAACTGTGATAAACTGAGTCAAAATAAATAAAAATGTCTTGCAAATAAATCCACATCTTTTGAAGTATTTATGATGATTAAATAGTTGTTAGAATATTTTGTTCCACCAGAGGACCTTTATGATGTCCACAAAATGCTCTGTGTTTTTATAAATTACTTTTATACTTAAATGATACCTTTTAATAAAACCCAAGGGGTTTTCTTGAAGTTTGTGCTTGAAAAAGCATGCCCAAATGTAAGTGGGTGTATCTGAGCACCTAAAAACACCATATAAATACCCCTGATATCAAAATAAAGCAACACTTGGGAGATTTCATCAGGAGTGGAAGTATCACATCATATGCTTTTGTTTCAGAGATACTGAGGATGGAACATAGAAAAAAACTGCCTTTTTTCCCCTCGCCTGAGGTTTTTCTGCATTATACACTATATAACATTGTCAAAAGTATAATGAATTAGGGCTAAAAACTCTTGGAAACCATGAATCCACTTATGGACATTACCTGTGCAAAACCCCATGCTGCTGAAGTAAACTACAACAAAGTTACAGAGGTTTTAGTTTAAAAATATTTAGGTGTTTTTTCTTGTGGCACAGATTGGTACATTCTGGCACCATCTAAAAAAGTAGAGTTTTTTAAGTTTTTAGTTACAAAACTTAAAAAAACTTGATAAATAAGTAAGCTAACTAGCAAAAACAGCACATTTTATATTTTATTTTGTTTTTTAAACGGCACGTAGACACAACTGGAAGTCCGATGAGTGACGCTGCGCTTTACATGTAAAACTTGTGTTTTATAATTTTCAAATCAGAGTGCTAGGTCTTCTGTTTTTTTACTGCTAGTTGGGTGAATTCTGGTTGGATTGTGATGGAACTTATATTTTTAGAATCTGTGAGGTCTCTGCTTTCAGCAGACATGTTGTTTGTGTGAAGAAGTCACTGGTGAACAGCTGAGACCGGGTTTTGTCAAGATGTCATTTTGTGCAGCTTGTTTACATACAGATTCAACTGCTTGTTGTTTTATCTGTCTGGTGGATGGAGAAATGGTTTCTATGAGTTTTTAGCCAAGATTCTAACATTTCTATAGATACCACACATGTCTAAGTTTAACTATGAGAACGTTGGTTAATAAAGAAAGCAAAAAAATATATATGATTATGCCCCCGTCGGCGGGGGGCGTGGGGCTCAAGAGGTTAAAGAACATTAACGCCACTGAAAGAAACGTGCAACAAAAGTATCTCACCCTACAGTTTTCTAAAAGGACCGTTACAGTGGATTGTCCTCTTTGCTCACATAATTCAGGCTCACACAACTCGTCATGACATGACATGAGAGATGTGTTTCATTACATTATATTCAAAAATAACTTATGTCCATTTTCACTGAAACTGTACAAAAATTAGAAGTCATCGAAGTGCACACCTGTTTCCTCCCACAGACCAAGAACATGCAGGTTAACTGGTTTACCTGTAAGTTGTGTCTAGGTGTGGGTGAGAGGGTGAATGTCAGTGTATTTGTGTCCGGTGAGGACCTGCTGCTTCTTGTACAGTGACTGCTGAGACAGAAACCAGCTGCCTGTGACCCAGAAAGGAAAACCAAGTAAAAGAAAACAAATGAAGTCATATTTGTTTTGGGTAAAGTTGTAGCTTATTTTAAAAACTGGACATTATGTATTGACACTTTTCTTGGCATTTTATCAAAAGTGCAAAAAAATTACCTGGTTTTAAAAACATCTGTCAGCTAATAATTAACTTTTTAAAACAAAACTAAAACAATGTCATTTTCTACCAATATTTCAGAGTATCAAATTGTTAGTAATTACCCCATTAAAGTAATATTTCAAACCAAAAATTTCAAATTATGGATTAAGATGAACACATTATGTTATGTACTGTATTAACCTGATAGCTTTAGTAAGTCTGTCCACCATGTTGTGACTGTACTGTGTTTTATGAATGGGATTGTCACCATAACAAATTTCACTGGATGATAAATTGTCTCAGAAATTATTGTGATGTATGATAATAAAATATTGTTGGAGACCAGTTTAAACTAATGTAATGATATAACAACCCCTGTTTACAGAAGTTTACAGTTTAAGTTTTTACAGTGTAAATAGTCTGGCTAAATGTCTGTTCACAGGTTTTCATGCTACAGAGGTTAGGAGAGCCTGATGTAGTTCACTCCTCTCCACGCCAAGAAGAAAAAAAGAGAGAAACACAAAGAAAACAAAAAAGAAGGCAAATTAAAATTATTGTCTTCATTTAATTTATCTTCCTCAATTTAATTTATCAAACAATTAATTGATTTATTGTTTATTGTGACACCGCTTTATGATAAATGATAAACAAGATGATGACATAAAAATTTGTAATAATTAGTAAGAAAAACTATCTGTTGATACATTAAAACTGTACTTCTGCCACTTACAACATGTAAATGTTTGCGTGATAATGACTGGCTCTTTCACAGATTTATGAAAGTACAGTAAAGTGCAAAGACTAAATAAAAAAGAAATTGTGAAACAAATAAAAGTAGATTTACCTGACTTGATCTATCTGGTGTTGGTTACTGTAAAATGAAGACGTTGTTACAGAATTATATATGTATTGCCTGTTATTGTTGTTTTGCTTCTCTTAAAACCGAGATATACTGTATATTCTTGGTAACATTAATAAAAACTTTTTTGAAGAATATTGTTAACATAACTACTGTCTGGTTCTATAAAGTAAACCCATGGCCTCACTGATTTCCTTGTTTTACTTCAGTCATTAAAGATGTTGACACGTCTTACAAGCCGATTCAAAAAGTAGAAATAAATGTTTTTTAATAAACTTCTTTTACAAAATAGCAGTATACATTCAAAAACAGTAATATACTCAAAGAGTGAGAGAGTAACAGGTTAAAAAAAAGCAAAAACAAAATAAGCAGAAGACAAAACAAAAGGTTATAACTTAAAATTTTCACATATTTTTTTAGTTTTATAGCTTTCGAATTAGTGCAGTTTCAATTAGTCCAAAAAAATAGTTCAAATAGGTCCTAAAAACAGTGAAATTGGGCTTTTCTTTGGCAAATTTGCTGGCATGAATGTGGAATTTAGCTAATAGAAAAGAAAGTTCATGACATATTTTATCTCAGACATTTTAAAATCTAATTCAAAAACATCAAATAAAACATGTTTTCCATCCAGTTTAACTGGGGTATTAAATTTATTATTAAACAGCAAATGAAGGTCACACAAAAAGGTTTGACTAACTGTGCAGTCCCAGAAAACATGGGTTGTTATCCAGACAGATTAGCAGTGCGCCCTGTCACTCAGACCTGACAAGTCAAAACTGATCCACTCCACTGATCGATCCACTCCACTGATCGATCCACTCCACTGATCGATTCATCTGTGAGCTGCTTGTTAGGACTGGAGTTCAGCTCATCCCCAGTTACCTCCCAGTTACAACCATGGCTGATCCGAGAATACGGCAAATGAAAATCAAAACTGGTATCGTGAAAAGGTAAGGGTTCATTCCACATGAAGACCTGTGCTGCACTTTGCTCAAACAGCATGTGTTAGGCTAATGCTAACAAGCTAAACTAGCTTAGCCGGCCGCAGTAGATCGTTTGTCCCATGCCTTACCTACTAGCCACCGGTGTCGGAGCGCGGCCTAAACTCAGCAGCTAATTTAACCTGTTTTTTTCCTTTGTTTTTTTTGGTGCTTACACCGTGTCAATAAAACAATCCTCTGGGATGAATGTAATGTCCGTGTTGGACAGTGTCGGCTCCAAAATGCTCAGAATAACGTGCACCGGTGTCGGTGGTGAGCTAGCATGTTGCTAACATTGTTAAGCCTGTGTGCAGAGCGTGTTGTGCGTTGTCACTCCCGTGTAAGGCATGGGCTAAAAACAGTTGTGTACTTTATTTCTTTTAAGGTTTACACCTAATAGAGTTTACCTCTTTACATATGACTAACAGATTTGTTGTTATGTACAAATAATTACACAACAGTCTCCCAGGATAAAACAAACATAAAATGAGCACATAAATATGGAGTTGTAGAACAGTTTATAAGTTTTCTAAATGTAATAATTAGTTCTGTTCATTTAATATATTTGATAGAACATTTCCTCTCTTTTTCTGCTGTATTAATACATAAAGGTTCAGTTTACAACATTGTGTTGTTTTCAGTCTTGTTACACTTTGACACAAACACAATCTGTTAACAGAAAGTGTATCAGTTTTTTCCATAAATGTGTAGTTTTATTGTGATAATTTTACAAGCATATTGTTAATAAATATTTTGTATATTTACAGTTTGTACATTTATTTGTTAGCATATTGGCTATGTTATTTAGTAAAATGTGAATGTATTTAATGCACACCCAGGTTTAAAAAAATGCAACAACTTAAAATAAACTTAGTACACTTTAAGTGTATACACAAAGCTATAAACTTAAAGTGTACTAAGTATATTTGAATTTGTTCCATTTTAGTATTTAAAAGTATACTTAATACACTTAAAATTGTGCTTTTGTACAACTTAAAGACAACTAAAGTATATTTAGTATTAAATTTTAGTTGTTCCAAAATAGCACTCTTAAAGTATACTGATGATTCTCTAAAATGAGTGTTGTGTACATC